TTCTTGTTAAGGAATTTAGTTCAAGTTACCATTAATGGAAACTATATTATTTACGGTAGATCCCTATTATGGCAACTTAAATAAAACAAATCCCGTAACAAGAACCCAGCTCAGGCTTTAGGCATTCCTTTTTTTTACGGTGTAGGATTTGGGCTGCAGGGTTTAAGGCGGTTTAAGATGCAGGGTTGTTGTAGGCTGGATTGCCTTGGAGGATGGTTGGACCGTCTTGCTCAGAAACTGTGAAGCTTCGTACTTGCAGTTAGGCCGTTTCATCTTATCAACCGAACCAACAGCTTGTCTTTTCATCGCGATACTGAAGCACAAAGTAATTAGCCGCTCGCTCGTCGCTTCAACCTGGATTCCTGCTGCGATCGGGCAAAGCGGCTAGCAGCACTCGTACTTGCAACTGACGAGGAAGCAGAGTAGCTTGCTATGTGCCAGACTTTACCCCCTACAGTAGCTTGCCGCAGGCATCAGTGTCGCATGTCAGTCTGCATGCAGATTTCTTTCCTTGCTAGGGGTTGATGGAACCTAAGCCCCTGCCCTATATTCGTAAACCCCTCATGAGCCCTTCCAAAGCCGTGGTGTTTAGATCTCCCCATCTCTCCCACATTGTGGTGCTCTCAAGCTCGTCCAAGTCTTTGCAGAAGTCTTAAACGACAAGGTCCAGTGCAACTTCTGTTGGGTCGAGGAAGTCAGCCAGTAAGAGGACGCAGGTGATACTGACGACTTTCAGACGGTTCGTGTTTACAGCATCAATGCGCGCGTAGTCGTAGTAGCATTCATAGTTCATGGATTGGAAGCAACCGCCTCAAGACTTTGGGCAGCACATGTTGTCGCCGCAGTAGCCGAAATCTTCCTCCCTAGACTCTAGACAGCATCTTACAGACAGGGGAAGCTTTAAGGGATAGCAGCACAAGCCGTAGCGCTGTTTTTGGGGTGGTTTTGCTTGCAATCCCGGCCAGGTCGAGATTGTTGGTGATGACCTCTACTGCACCAATGTCAAGCGCGTGCAGATGGGCTGCTGGCCTCTGTCAAGAGCGAGATGTTTGAGGGTTGGACTGTTATGTCGACGGCAGAATCAGAGAAGGTCGGAATCTGTCGCAAAGAACCTTGATTCGGATGTAGGACATGGCGTTAAGGGCCTGAGGGCTGGGGCCTGGGGCCGCAATTGGTGTGCCGCAGATCAAGTTTCTTCACAGTCCCGAGATCTTTTGGTGGAAGCGACGGTGTTGCAAAGCCTCCCCAAAAGCCCATGTGACTAAACCAGAGCACCGCAAGCTCCCTTCTGAGGTTTGGACAAGAAGGCTACCAACGCGATGCTCCTGAAGGCTTGCATGGGCCCGGAACAGACTTCACCCCTCAGTTTGGCAAGGAGGGAACGTGCGGGGGCTCGCCGCCCCCACCCCGGCCCACCCCCCTTGCGCATGGCATTTCTTTCCCATTTCCATTTCTGTGGTGCATCCGTCTTCGCGCCAGTTTCAGTAGAACCACCGGAAATTCAAAGTGTGTCTTTAACTGCATGATTGGCGCAATGCAGTTGGATCACGACCGAAGCCTGACTGCTCAAGTCCGGACGGTGAGTCCCTTAATTTTTCTGTTTTCAACGAAGCATTTTCTGGCCATGCGGCTGATGAAGCAAGCATCTTGGTTGCACTGGCATTGCGAACAGATGTTGAGGAGACAGAGGCCTCTTTTTTCCCGTGCCGACCGCGCAACCTGTAACCGAAGTTGAGAGAGGCTTGGCGCTGTCCCGCAGGTGCTTTTGATGCTCTTCATCACCCTGGCCCAAGGAGCGAAGGTCAAGTCACTTGAGGCGGCCATCAGCTACCTGACTTCAACCCTGAGCCCTGAAAATCCACAAACCCGAAGAAAGCCTAAACCTTTGAGTTCCTTTCGCAGCCCAGGCTCTGCCATCAAAGAGGCGCTGGCTCCCACAGGCCCACCCTGACAGCGCAACAGCCATGCCCCTGGCATGCAAGCCGCAGCTCAGTCAGTCCTGGTGTTGTCGTGGATGCCAGTCTGCCCCATTCGATGTTGCGCCACACTGATAAACCCAAACTGACCTCCAAAGCCGAAACCCTAGACCCCAAATCTTGGACCCTAAACCCAAGAAGTGATGCCTTCCCTTCGCAGGCGAAGCTGCCAATGGGACGCTTTCAAGCCCTGCGGGACAGCGACTTACTGAGGAGGACGCCCTTGAAAAGGAATAAGCAAGGTATGACACCGCCCTGTGGGAGTGGGCCATTCGGTTGAGGCCATCTTTGATGTAGAAGGTACGTGCATTGAAAAGCATACGCAAGGTGTGGGGTTTACGAAGATCGTTCAGTGTTGTTTAAAGAAGATCTTCCGAGTCCTCTGCGCAGCTGACGGAAGGAGATTCGATACATGCTGAGCCTGGCGCGTGAGGGAGGAGATGGGCTGAGCCGCATCGAGGTCCATCGAATCCGTAAGAAGGATCCATTAACAGGGGAGGAGTATGATGGCGTCTTCTACAACGAGAGCTATGACAAGGAGGGCACCAACATCTGTCATCAGGATGGGGACCGTGTCACGCCGACGGCAGCAGTGATCGAGAAAGCGGAGCGGCTTCTCGAAAACGATGCCGGTGTCTTGCTGGCGAAGGCTGTTGCAGCCTACATTCGCATTGCAGAGTACTTGGGGAAGGAACTCTACCACATGGAGGCCGAGGTCGGATCCGCAACGCCGCCGGAGGAGCCGAGTGGCACAATGATCACCAGGATGACCATGGATTGGTTAGAGAAGTTGAATGAGATGCAGGCGGAGGCAGGTCAAATGCTGTGCCCAAACAGTCCCGAGTTTCTTCTTGTCTGTATCAAGCAGACCAACTGCCTCTTGGAGATTGCTGCAGAAGCCGACCCCCACGGAATCACTCCCGGCAGAATGGCTACCTACCTGGAAGTGGAGAAAGAGGTCACTGACCACTACGAAGAGTTTGCGATTCAGGCCCAGATTGGCTTGCCACATATGCCAGGACTTTGTGAACAGGAGACGGCCAGCATCGCCAGCATTCCCAACACAGGTTCCTTGCTGCAATCGGAGAGCACCGCAGCAAAGGTAGCGAACAGCGAACGGCAGAGCCGCGCAGTGGCTGCTGTGTTCCATACACAGCGGGCAGCCGCCAGGACAGTGCGTGCCCTCGCAGACCATTCGAAGCTGTATTTGCTGGAGGAATCTTTCTTCGCTCACACTTGGAAGAAGGCAAGCGTACAAAGCACTGCAAGCCTTGCTGTCATGGGGGGGGAGAGTGTTGTGCCAGATTGTAGTCTTTCACAGGGTTTAGAATTTCTGTGTTTGGGTTCATGATTTAGACTTTGCAACTTTAATTGGGGGTTACGCTTTAGGCTGTACCGTTCTTGGTTTACAGATCCGGGTGGAGACGGCTTTAGGCCCGAGGCCTTCAGATCCCTGCAATTTACGGCGGATCTTGTCGAATGATACCGCTGGTTTTCTTGGATTCATCTGGAACCAAACGCTTCTCTAACCCAGTCTTGAAACAATTGATTCTTACATGTGCGATTTGCCACCGCATGCAAACTGTTGCCATTGTGCTACGTACTCCGTTTCGTGTAATCTTGGGGGGATCTCTTGGACTTTTAAGGGTCACCTCCCCGGCCTGCATTCGGATCCTTATATGTACACTTTGTACCATAGTACCTATAATGCATTATACGTATGACACAAGAGCATACCGTGCCGTACTGTACCATGCGATACTGAGCCATACCAAATCACACCGTACTGTACCAGTTCTCTTCGTGCTATACTAACCATAGTATATAAAATTATAACACACTATACAACACGATATTGAATATGTTAGATTAAATTACATGTTATGTTATGAAACTGTGCTTGATTGCGCTCTGCTACTCTGCAGAATGCTTTGCTATGCTAAGTTCTGCATTGCCTTGTGACACTGCAGTATATCATCTTGCCATATCCTGTACTATACTATGCTATGTTCTGTTCGGCGATAGTACACGATATTTTACCATACGATCCTCTAGTGTACCATACCATATTGTGCTATCTTATTTTACTGGAGGGTTGTTTGTCGCACCGCCTTGTGAGACGTCATGCCATTGCGCGTGCACATTGGGGGGAAGCCATTCTGAACAAGTCCCGGCAATCTGATTGCTATTGTTACATGTTTGAAAGCACGTGCACATGGTGCTTAGTTACCAAAATGGCAGACTTTTCAGGGCTCCGGGACAAATGTCGCAGCAAAGCCTTCGCGCTACGTCCACTAGAAATCCTAAGTTGAAGTTGTTGCCAGGAACGTGTTAAGAAGCGCCTGGACACTGGGGAAAGCGATGTGCTTTGCAACTATGCGTGTGGTGTGACTCCAAATGCCGTGGTGTAGCTTCACGCCTACCTGCGTGACCATGCGTTGTCGCGACTTCACGCGTTTTGCGGGCACATAAAGCTACCGCTTGTATGTATACTACATACTGTACGAGATGATACTATACTATATCATTTTGTAGTAAGAACTGTTATACTACATTATTGTCGCATGAAGCTGTATTGTTACACTGGGCAATGTTAGACCATATAAGTTGTATACTATACTTTGAAGTTAGAAGGTACTATATTAAACCATACCAATCTATATTGTCACGATACGATGCTGTACCATATTACATTACATTGGCTACATTATGCTGTATCAGATTATGCAGTTATGCTGTTATGCTATGTCGTGCTGTATTACATCATTTAATGCATGTTCGACTATACTATACTATACTATACTATAGGTCAGTATAGTATAGTACAGTATAGCTACAGTCCAACGCAATATTATACTATATAACATTACGCGATTTTATACTATACCGCGTGATGCCTCACGATGCTGTATTACATAATATACCTGATCATATCGTGCCACATTCTACTGTACTAAATTGTACTATGTTATATCATATTATATTCTATTCTGTTCCACCTTGCCCCAATCTATTCTAAAATCATGTACTCTACTCTACTCGACTCTACTCAGCTCTCTTTTCTGTGTTATACGATAGTATAATCCACTATACTATAGTATACTATACACTACTATACTGTGCCATTCTATTTTATACATTATACTACACTTTACTATATACTATACGGTATTATACAGTACTACACTATACCATACCATACTTTACCGTATTTTGCTTCACTTTAGTTTATTTTGCCTCCACTGTGCTTGTAATTTTTTCACACTTCAAAGTTACTGCACTTCACTACACTACCGTTACATTATATATGTATATCTGTATGTACGTGTATGTATCATGTTGTATGATTGTAGATTAGGATTTCGGGTTTAGGGTGTAGGGGTTATTGCTTACCATAATGAAGTCTCTCCCCCTGTAGCGAAAACTCCTGAAGCAGGCGTGCGAGCTCATCGGGTGCTGGACGACCTCTTTTGTCGATATCATGGATGCGTCCGCCGGACACATTGCGGAACTTGTGGATGTGAATGCGTCCTGGCATGCTGTGAAGACCCACCACGTAGGCTTCATGCAGTTCAGGACGTCTGTATGGCAGGCCATGAATGCAAGCTCTGATTTCCATACAAATTTCAGAAAGTTCATCTACGGAACAGGCCGGGCAAAGGGGGCGAGGCGTGTGGATCACGTTTACAAGGAGGCGAGCGACGTGCTTTCCACCGCCCTTGCCTTGGAGAACAGACAGAATGCCGACTCCCAGTCCGAGGACAGCAAGGCCGGAAGAAGAAGGAGTTCTCCTCGGAGACGGGGGAGGAGAAGGGAGTTCTTCAAAGTATCTGGCATGGGCGCGGAAATCTATGGCGAGGGATGGTGGTGCTCTGGCTGTTTTTGTGGTGGTTCTGGGATTCACCCTAAGAACCGACTGTAGGAAAGCCCACATAGATGGACTTAGGTGCCTGAGCTGGCGGGCCAATGAATTTAGCAGCTTCCAGAGGAAGTTCCCTTTCGAGTCTACGAAGTGGGGTGCAGCGGTGGGCTACAGCATGGCTGTGGGCGATCCGCAGGAGTTTGAGGTCTGGGTCCAGGCCCAGGAAAAAATTGACCAAAACGTAGTTCAAAAGACCAAAATATTGGGACATGCCTAGGCCATGAAGGGGAACCACCCGGCCGTCTTTGAGCTCGCGGTCGGCTTGACGATCGGCTTCATTCCTAGCCTACCCACCGGGCAGGGTGTGCGGGCTGGCGTGACCGTTGGCGGGACCTTGACCCTAGCGACCAATGGCCCAAAAGTCGGCATCAAGCTTGGGCTTGGCGTGAGTGCAGTGAATGGCATTGCAACGTCAGCAGACTGTAGCCCGAAAAGAGGCGACATTGGTGGCTTCAAGTGCATGAAAGGGGTGTCTGCATCGTTCACCATCTTCTGCAAGAGCTTCGACTTTTCCAGCGGTGACAGCGATGCCCAGCAAGATGACCCATGCTCCACAGACGGCAAGTACTACAAAGAGATACAGAGGCGCCGGGTTCCTTGGAACAACAAGTACGTCCGCCGGCGTGAGACCAACATGCCGGGCCAAGGTCGATCGTCGGAGAAGAACGCAGTTGCTTGCCGTGACCGCTGCAACCGGGTCTCGGGTTGCATGCACTATACCTTTTACCAGGACGGCGGCTGCCATCTCCAAAGCAGCGACAGTGAGCTTCATGGGGGATGGTATGTCAGGTCTGGCCCAGGCCGGCCAGAAGACTGCTGTGCAGTACCGAAGGTCTGGTGGGCAATCGACCACAACAGACGCCGTCGCCGGCGCTGGCGTACCGACAAGGGCCAGCCGCATTGGTACACGCTTGACGGCCGAAGGCGAGGTAAGTCACATGGACAAACCTTGCAGCAGTGCCAGCAGCGCTGCGCATCAGTGAGTTGGTGCCGGCACTTCACCTTTTGGCAAAATGGAGGTTGCCACATCACGGATTCGCATGCCAAGAGCTACATCAATCACGGCCAAAGCCCGCAGGCGTCAGGCCCACCCCGTTGCAGGTGAAGATGCAGGCTGCGCTGACCCTGCCCGGTTACCGGACGGCGGACGGTTGCCGGAACAAAATCGCACTGTGCGACTCATACTCGCTCGCACATGCTTCTTGCAGTGTGTAGGCCCGAGCATGCCACCTTTGCTGTCAGAAAGATATTAGAACTTGCAGATTGAGACCTCCGGGCCGCCACGGGCTCCCTAAAACTGTAAAGCCCTTCCGAGCAGAATCAGGATTGGGAAGAGGAGGACCTCTAGCGTTTCCATAGCAGCAGTGGCACTAGCACTAGCACCAAGCAGCAGCAGCAGCAGTCGAAGTAGCAGCAGCAGCAGCAGCAGCAGCATCACAACCACCCCCGCCGCTTTCACTGCCTTTGCACACCAAGCAGCCCTACAGGTGAACCAAATCGGAAGCGTCTCGGAGTCCATCGCGGCCTGGAAGCTCTGCCGCGACAACAAGTGCCTGGGATGTTCCGAGAGTTTCCGTTCGTGTTTTGAGGGGGATGCTTTAGGGTTCAGGCCTGGGTTCCAGAGGGTGACCGATGTTGTATACAGTTTAATTTAGGTTTGACGGATTTGGGGAACAGCGGCGCAGTGCGGCCTTCGATGTTTACTGGAGGTCTTCAGTTTTGCTTCCTTGGGTTCTCGCGCTTAGGAGCCTGGGGTGTGGTGTAGAGTATCAGTCTCGAGGATCGCAGCTGACATCAGAAGAATCATGTAAAAGCCTAAAATGTTACCTATGTTGGCTACTATATCCCGTAAACCACAAAGCCTCTATTCTTTTCTTTAAGGCCGGTTGGTTGTGGTGTGTGTGTGTGTGTTTGTTTTCCAATTGTTCCAGACGTTGGGCATCGGGATGTCTCTGAACATCGACTTTGCTTCCTAAGGCCGTTGTGTAACCTAATCCCCAGAGCCCTCAGACTTCCGACATAAACAAGCCCCAAGACCGCCAAGCCCTAAACCCTAAACCCCTAAACCCCTAAATCTGAAACCCGAAACCCTCAAAACCCTGAGAATCCGAAAGCAGGGCGCGCAACTGGAATTCAGGGAGACGTTGTTCAGCTTGTCCTCAGGTGGGGAGTCTTCGTCTCCCACCGCTCCGGAGAGACCGAGGATCTTGCATAGTATAGTATAGTATAGTATAGTATAGTATAGTATAGTATGGTATAGCGTAGCATAGCATAGTATAGTATAGTATAGTGTGGCATAGCATAGCATAGCATAGCATAGTATAGTATAGTATAGTATAGTATAGTGTAGTATAGTGTAGAGTAGTATAGCATAGTATAGTATAGTATAGTATAGTATAGTGTAGCATAGTCTAGTCTAGTCTTGTCGGCTTCAAAAAAAATGTGGGTCATTCAGGGACGATAGATAGGGTGGATCTCGAGGGTTTTTAGGGTTTGGGTTTAGGGTGTGGGGCGCAGGATGTAGAGTGGGGGGGGGGGGCAGCTTTTTGAGACAGGTTCCAGCAGCCTTGCGGGTGCCCAAGTTGCACTTTGCGCCCTTAAACCCATCGGCCCATCCATCCATGTCCCTGTCTGCCGGTGAGCATAGATGTGGCATGTGACATGCACGTGTCTGTGTGTGTGCGCCGAGTGTGTGTATGTATGTATATATATATATGTACACACACACATAGACATATCTTATATGTACACACATATACGTGTGTATATGCATGTAGTTGTATAGGTTTGTATTTATGCATACAGTTACATACATGCCTACATACATATACACATAAATGTGCATGCGTTCGCAGGACACCTTCATTGCTGCCGCATCCTCAGCTTCGACTGGGGAGGCAGTGAGCACGAGCCTTCAGCCCTCGAACCTGCAGCCCCCGAAAACCTCGAAGTCCCAAAGGCCCTGATATAACACAGCCCCCATCATAGTCCCTGTACTCTTTAAGCAGTCGCCCTAAACCCTAAACTCCCCAAATCCCGGGCAAAGAGGGAAAAATGGGACCTCGAAAGCTGAGCTCAGGACCTGACGGTTGGCTTGGGCACCGGCCACCTGAAGACCGGCGCTCCCTGCAGGCCTCCCCAATTATTTAGGGGTTGTGGGTTTTGAGGTTTTGGGGTTTTGGGGTTTAGGGTTCAGGGTTAAGACCGGCACTCTCTGCAGGCCTCCCCGGGGGTCCAAGATGGAGGACTTAGGGTTTTTTTGAGGTCTTGTAAGTTTGGGGGGTTTAGGGTTTAGGAGTTTAGAGACGGCTTAGGTTTTAGGGCTTAGGGGTTTAGAGAGGGACTAAATTTAGGGTTCAGGAGCTGAGGTTTTGGAAGGATTATATCGTTGAAATTGGGTTCTAAGGGTGTCCAGATTGAGAAAAACGTGCTTCAGTAACCCGGCTCTTGTTGACGCACAAAATGTAGGTTGCAAATAAGTCCATTGTAAACTACATGCTTTCTGTAAAGACAGTGTCTTCGAGATGGAACTCTTTTTATAGGGCTTAGGGTTCGGGTTTGAACCCCACTATAAAATAAACCCAAAACCCTAAACCCAATGCCTTTCGACGCTTCCTTGAGTTTCCGAAGAGGATGAGGAACTTTTCAGGGCTCTGGAGAAGAGGGGTTTTCCCTCATAAAGACCCCCCCCCAAATCTTCAGTGACAAGAATAGGGACCTCGATGGCTACCACTATTACTTTGGGCTCCTTATGATCAGTATAGTACAATACCAGTAAAATATACCCATAATTAGAATAGGGTGTTGGGGGTTCCTTGTTATAAGTTTTGTACAATATACCCCAAAGACCCTATTCTAGGTTCAAGGCCCTGGAAGCTATGTTCAGAGACGAGCTCTTCCCTGAATTGGACCAGTGCCTCCAAGCTGAGAGCCATGAAGAGACATGGGGAGTTCCCCACCGTCTTCGATCCCCTTCCGATCCTTACCTTGACGATCCTTTCTAAATTAATTGGGGTCCCCCTAAACCCCTAAACCCCTAAAACCCCTAAACCCCTAAACCCTAAACCCCCTAAACCGTCCCTCTTCGTTTCCGAAGTCACCCCAAAACCGACCTCCTCGAAGCCTCGCAGGAGCGAGCGCCTGGCCAAGTACAACCAGCTGCTGCGCATTGAGGAGGACACTTTTTGTTGGGGGAGGGGGCCTTTTAATAACTAGTCTGAATAGGGTTTTGGGGGTTCCTTAGTATAGTACAATGAGGAGGACATGGGGGCTGGGGGCCGGGGGGGGTTAGGGTTTAGGGGTTTCTAGGGGTTTATAGGGGTTTATAGGGGCTTAGGGTTAAGGGGTTTTGGCTTTTCGGGTTAAGGGGTTTTGGCTAGGGGGAGGGGGCCTTAATAGTTAGTCTGAATAGGGTTTTGGGGGTTCCTTATTGTAGCATAATGAAGAGGACACTGGGGGCTGGGGGGGGGGGCTGGGGGCGGGTTAGGGTTTATAGGGGTTTATAGGGGTTTCCAGGGGTTTGTAGGTTTATCGGGGTTTATAGGGGTTTAGGGGTTTTAGGGTTTAGGGGTTAGAGTTTAGGGGTTTTAGGGTTTAGTTTAGGGTTTAGGGGAGGAGGACAATGGGGCCTGGTGAAGGCAACGGCGCTTGCCTTCAAAGGGTGTTTTTGGCAGCAAAATCATAGTGAAGGCAACGGCCGCTTGCCTGCACAGTGTGTTTTTGGCACCAAAATCATGGTGAAGGCAACGGCCGCTTGCCTGCACAGGGTGTTTTTGGCCCCAAGATCATGGTGAAGGCAACGCCCGCTTGCCTCCACAGGGTGTTTTTAGTACCAAAATCATGGTGAAGGCAACGGCCGCTTGCCTTCACAGGGTGGTTTTGGCTCCAAAATCGTGGTGAAGGCAACGGCCGCTTGCCTTCACAGAGTGGTTTTGGCACCAAAATCATGGTGAAGGCAACGGCACCTTGCCTGCACAGGGCGTTTTTGGCACCAAAATCATGGTGAAGGCAACGGCCGCTTGCCTGCACAGGGTGTTTTTGGCACCCAAACCATGGTGAAGGCAACGTCCGCTTGCCTTCACAGGGTGTTTCTGGCACCAAAATCATTGTGAAGGCAACGGCCGCTTGCCTTCACAGGGTGTTTCTGGCACCAACATCATGGTGAAGGCAACGGCCGCTTGCCTTCACGGGGTGTTTTTCCGCACCAAAATCATGGTGAAGGCAACGGCCGCTTGCCTTCACAGGGTGTTTTTGGCACCAAAATCATGGTGAAGGCAACGGCCGCTTGCCTTCACAGTGTGTTTTTGTCACCAAAATCATGGTGAAGGCAACGGCCCCTTGCCGTCACCAAAATTATTGTGAAGGCTGTTTTTGGCACCAAAATCATGGTGAAGGCAATGGTGAAGGCAACGGCCCCTTGCCTTCACAGGGTGTTTTTGGCACCAACATCATGGTGAAGGCAACGGCCCCGTGCCTTCACAGGGTGTTTTTGGCACCAAAATCATGGTGAAGGCAGCGGCCGCAACTAAATCCGAGCCCCCGGCTCTACACACAAACCAGACCTAAAGCCCTGAAAACTCAGAAACCACAGCTTCTGAGGAGTTTATAGCCCAAACTCCAAAGCCCGTTTCTTGAATTATCGTGCAGCAACAGCAATAGTGTCATGACCGGCCAGCTTCAAAAACCCAACTCCGATCATGGTTCTGACCCAAAAAACAACTCCCAGGAGTCGTCGCTCCCCTACTGCGGAAGCCACTTCCGGGCTCCCTGGGCCATGCCAACCTCCGGAGGCTACGCCTGAGAAGTCCAACAGAAGTCCTTGATAGGGCAAGAGAAGAAAGGAGGTCTTTAGGAGTTGAGGGTCTTTGCTAGAATGCTTTCGACAGGAGGTTATTATGTGGGTCATCATGAGAGGGGTCTATGGCTTTTAGAGTCGCGTGAGGGTGTTTTGAGGGTTTGCGGGGTGTTGGGTTGTAGCATTTGTGGTTCGAAAGAAGCAGAGGACTTGTAGGGGTTTGACGGTGGTTCTGCAAGCAGATAGCTCCAACCCCAAATACTAGCCAAGCCGAACACGACATCTACCGTACTCGACCCAACTGATCTTCGTTATCCGAAGCCCAAAACCCGAAGCGGTAGGGATCCTGATAGTAAGTCCCTTAAACAAGCGAGAGGTTCGTTAGTCAGAGCGTCACCTTAACGGCCTTAACCCTATCCTCAACCCCACCTGACCCTAAACCCCCCTGTTATCTAACACAACATAATATATAGTAGAATGCATGGTAAGACAGTCTAGTATACTATAAAAATAATACGGTACAGTATCGTATGGTACGGTGTAGTATCGTAGAATGTATCAAAACCCGAGTAAGCTGCAGACCTCCCTGCAGTGCGAAGTGTTTGTAGAGCCTTTCGAGGGCTCGAAAGTTCCAAGATGCACCTCTCGCCGCTTCGCCAAGCTCTTGTGGCAAATTACGATTAGTGTAGCAATGTATGTGTATATATCTATATATATATATACACATATATAATGTTATTGTACTAGCAGTGTTAGTAGTAGAAGTAGTGGAAGCATGATTGGCATTGTTACTGTTATTATGGGCCTGCCATAGCAGCCCCAATACTTGCGCCGATGTGCGCTGACATCCTCAGTTTTGGCACTTCCTGATGTTTAGGGCTTTGTACTCTAACCTAGAACGCCAGACTCTAAAGCATCAGGCGCCCAGCATGAAGGGAGACTACAGGTAGGCCACTCCACGCATTCCACGCGGATTCTATAACATTTTTATTGTGGGTGAGGCTCAGATTTAGGAGCTGTCTTTTCTAGGGTCTTTCAGGGACACCTAATGGAGGGTTTGATCGCTGTAGGATTTGGCATATGGACAGCACGACGGGGGCTGCACACACTTTTGTGATCAACGCAGACGCAGAGGCCGACTGCATGAGATCGATCCATCGTTTTAACACCCGCCTCCGGCTTCCCGGGGACCCCATCAACTGATCAGCATGCAGATTTCTGTAGCACGTGTTCTCACCAGGCACGTGCGCCTGCGTTTGTGTACACCCCAATATGCATGCAAACCACGAGTAAGCACGCAAACGAAAGAGTAAACAAGCAAAATCACCAACAAACATACATAAATAGGCCGACCGACAAACAAACTGGAAGACAGTCATGCAGGAAAAGCCATCTTCGGCATTGCAAAAACCGAGTGCAAAGACACACGTAGATACACCTGCTGGCTTCATACCGAACCGTCTGATCTGATGCACTTTGCAACAATAACAAAAGCAACGCAAACAGAATATACACGCACTGTAGAGAAATGAGTGTGGGTGAGTGGCTGTGGTTGGCCAAAGACACTATAATGCGTTACAAATATACATATTGGGTATGCGCAAAAAATACATGTGCATGGTACCTTCTAGCATTAACCCTGAAGCCCTCAGCCCTGCACGCTTGAACCCTCGAACCCTTGAGCCCCTAAACCCAAAGCCTCTCGAGCCCTTAACAACCCTAAACTCTAAAACCCTAAACCCGTAAACCCTTAAACCTAAACCCCTAAACCTCTAAACCCTAAACTCCAAGCCATATCTTCTCCTAGACGTTCGCAGTTAAATCTGCTTCGAGGCCTGGTAACGAAGTCCAGTGTATGTACATGCTTTACATCTATCTGTATGTGTATATATATATATGTATATATATATACATACACACGCACATGTACATACATATACACATAAACATATAGAATAATATTTACATACATGTATAAACACACACACATAGGTATATATGTATATATAAACATGTCGTACCTATGTGCATACCCCTAAACCTTGAGTCCAGAAGCGGTCAGCTGGGGTCCCGTGGCCCGGCATTGGTTTGCTTGCTTCAGTGGCAGGCCTCGCTTTGACGGTCGAAACATGGCAGAAAGAAGGGACTCAAGCGGTTTTGTATCAGCAGGTGTGTAAGGGGCTGCAGATGTGTGTATATATATATACATGCCAAATATATGCTTGTTTGTATGCATGTACGTATGCATGTTCAAACATATATGTGTATATATGAGTTGAGCGAGAGACAGCGTGAGGGTTTTTGTACACCCAAGATCGGACCTAAACCCTGCAGTAGGGTCTCGAATAAAGGACCCTACACCCTGAGTGGTGAGCATATTTTGTGTGTGGCAAAACACTCCAGGCTTCTTAGCGTTGCACTTGGGAAAGTACTGTGCTCTTCGCCGTAGAGGACGTAAGCTTCCGTCTTTCTGGTGCAAAAAAAAGTCCCGAGAAAATATAGAAGCCTCAAAAATCACCAATGTTTGGTTCCTTCGGGTTCCCTCGCGTATTACATCGGCTCAGACAGCTGTATTGTTCCCGATTTGTATGAATCTCTAGTACACCGTAGCACGCTGGGCCAGCAAGGGCTGGTTCGATTCTCCCTCGAGGTCTAGGGTCTAGGAAGTTTAGGGTTGAG